CACTTGGATTCTGTGAGTTTTTAGAAGGATGATTGGGTGGTAGGAGGGGCTTTACACTTGCACTTTCCCACAATTTTTGCTATTGTCCAGTATAAAGGTGTGTCCGTAGAACCCAGTCAGGAAACCTTTCACACACAGCCCTGAAATCTTCTCAAGTTTCATCTACTTGAATACCAAGGAAAAAATAAAGGTGTGTCCGTAGAAGCACTTGGATTGTTGAATTAGTTAGAAATTTGAATGATTGGAGATTGAGGAGTATATAAATATTCTCAAGCTGCTTTCTCCAGTAGTGGTCTCCAATGAAGATGTACCTATTTGATTTGGGTTTAAATTCAAAGAGACTTTTCTCAGTGAAGTCATATTATGGGCATTTGACTAAAAGAGGAAGTGCACTAATAAGTTCCCTTTGGAAATGATTTGGAAGGTGAAGGCGACTCCTGGAGTGGCTTTATTTCACATAGGAAGCAGTTCGGAACAAATCCCTCAGGAGGGGAGAGATTCTGGTGAATGGGTGTTACTTACGTAAAAATGATGCAGAAATAAGAAATCACATCCTCATCTGCTGTCATTTGTGCATGGATTCTGGTCTTCGGCATATAGCTTATTGGGTTTGAGTTGGGATTATTGGAGACATGATGAGAGAGGAGATTTGAGCGTGGAAAGATATTTAAAGTTCGAATAGCTTTATCAAGTTAATCATATTGGCTCATTTTGGACTATTTGGAAAGAGAGGAATAAAAGAATTTTTATGGACATAGAATCTAAATTTAGCACAATACTCACAAGCAGAAAATATCGACCAGAAAAAACCAACCAGTAGAGAACAATACTCACAAGACGAAAAAATACTCACAAGCAGAAAAAAATACTAACTCTTTTATGGGTTTGAATATGCTGGACTAGAACAATACTCACAAGCAGAAAAAATCAACCAGTAGAGATTTTAAGGGTTGAGAAGTAACAGTATGTTTCAACTTGATGGGTTTGAATTGTTTACAGGAAGACACCCGGTACATTTTTGGATTTTGTTTTCTTTCTTTTCCAGAAAGCTTATATTTACCACCAAACATTTTTGGGTTATAGCATTGATAACTACCTCCCATACTTACCCAAATTTCAAATGGTATTTTATGTTAAGATCCGTGCTTTTGACATCAAACTATGTAGGACAAAAATGGATCATTTTGCAACCAGTTAGTCCTACTCGACCCTCATCCAAACAGTCACTCAGTCCAACCTCTCTACATCTCCAGTCTCTATCTGTCCCCATTCTACCCCTGCCAAATCCTTCCGATCCATGCCAGAAACTATTGAAGGAGGTAAAATGTAAATTTCTTTTATCTCCCGCTAGAATTATATCACTAACACGAAGTTACTTAATGGCAATGGTACACCAGAATGCCGTATTTGAAACTTGACAAAGTACAGCTAGTAATTATCTCCACTAAAACTAGAATGGTGATTACCACTCAAGTTTCTAGAAGCACATTTTGTAAACCAAAACAACATTCTAAACAGGTAACTATGTAAGCAGTCACTGCCTTTACAAGGCCATAACCAATAGCCAGAATTCCACTAATCATTTGGATCAAGAAAGAAAGAAAGTAAACACAAACACTGAAGCACCGAATCAAAAGAGAACCGCAGAGAAAACAAAGAAACCAATTGCAAATGACAAAGGTTTACCAGAAGTTTTGGACAATACTATCCCCAAATCATGGAAACAAGAGTTGTCATATAATAAGACACACAATCAAAAGTACAAGTGATAGAGAAAAAAAAAAGAAAAATAATTTTAACATGTTTCAACAATTTACTATTCCATGAAGCAATGTGAAATTTTTTACCATACAAAGAACCATCTCTTATAACTGAGGTTTTCCCTTTAATAGAGAAAGAGAAAACGCAATTTTACAAGAATGACCTTTATAAGAAAAAAAACTGCCCTACCCCTTAATAGCGTGCCATACCCTCTCCCTTTTACCAGGACCTATTTGTGAATCGTAACTCCTCTGAATGTGAGCTACATCTCAACACCTCTATCCAAAACGGATGATTGTCCCCATCAGAAGACCACTTAAGAGTAAAATAAGGAAGAAATATGTAAGGGTAAAAAAGAAATAGTGTATAAGGGTAGTCTGGTCCTTTCTATTATAACAAACATGTATATAGGGTTAGGGTTAGCATAGTTGAACAGAAACGGAAGCAGAAAACAGGGACGAAAGGGACACTTACCCAATCATACTGGCCTCACAAACTGTTGCAACCTCCAAAGCACACCTAGACAGAATACACGCCATTGTAGCTTATAAATAGGCTTGAATTCCATGTACTAATCATCAAGAATATATTACCTCCAAGCAACTAACCTCTCTTCTCTGTTATCTTTTCTCTGCTCGGAGTCAGGAACGAGGTTCGTCACAAGGTGATATTAGAGCAGTGTACCAAATCCAACGGGGAGCCGGTGGTGGTGGTGGAGGTGGATTTGGCAAAAACAATGGTCGTCCAACCCACCGTGAAGGTTGCCGACCCGCTTTGGACCAAAATTTGAATGGAAGCTTACAAGAAATGCAGATGACTGGATCTGATTACGGAGATATTGCATGGCGATAATTCTTTACAAAAGATGTGACGCCGGTGGCACGAGCGTAGCCGTCTCCATTGGGCAACAAAAGATCCCACAATCCTCTGTTGCAAGAGAAGCAAATGGGAACAGAAGAGACGAAACGGTTGAAAAAGAGGAAAACCCTAAAACTAATTCAATGACTGAACCGGTTGAAAAATATTGCGCTAGACCGAACACAGTTTGAAGTGGACAGAATTACATAGCCGAATCGGTTCAAACCCCACTAATGAAGAAGAAGAAGAAGCAGAAGAAGAAAATGAAGAGAAATAGAAGAGGGAGAAATCATTGAAGAAGAAGATGAAAATAAAATAAAGAATAGTTGATCCCATCCAAACTCTCGGGGCCTTCTCTCCTCCAAGAGCACATGGTTCCTAGCCTCTTCACCATCGACTATCTACACAGACTTGCTTTTGGTACCAAGATTGAGCCACTGAGCTCTGGCCACTGCATCACCATCACCTCCTCCAAGAAAAATGGCACAACGGCCCCCAAAGTTTTCATTGGAGGCATTGCAATAATGCATCCCGATATGTTCAACAATGGCCTTGTTATCATCCACGGAATCCAAGGCTACGTCTGTCCTCTCTCACCTTTGTCCTACGATGTGCAACAGATTAGCTTTATTATCTTGCCAGCCTAGCACAATTGCAGTCACCTTAGCAGCTCACAGGCTAGTGCCACCACTATGTGCCTCATGCTCAGGGACGCCATTCTCAGGCTCCACAACAACGGTTTCACCATGCTCTCTCCCGCCATGAAGGTAGAGATTGAAAAGGTTAAGAGAGAAAGAAAATAGGGCCATTGAAAAAGCACAACAAGAGGAAGAAATGGCACTGTTAGCCAGAGAATGTGCTCGGGTTGAATTCCAAGACTGGAGAGGAAAGAGAGTTTCATTTTGATCAAAGCAAAGTC